TCCCCCTGTCGGTGAACACACCTACGCGACAGATCATTGGCTCTCCCACCCAAAGAATACACCGACCGCAACAATATGCATTATGGGAGTGGGCATCCGAAAGCTTACCAACAGAAGATAACAATGTTGAGGAGATCTTGATCCTTTGCCGAAAATTTTTGGTGCATAAGGTTAGTTTTCAAAATGCTCACTTCAGTTGCGTTGATTTTACTAATACAAGATTCAAATATGTACAGAATCTTTTGAATTGGGCAAACCATTACAGAGAGCTTGCCTTCAAAAAGGCAAAGCGGGCTCGTGAGACATATTTACCTGAGCCGTTAACATCGACTAAAACTCTTGACTACATAAAGTATAACAATCAGACTCCTGCAAAACCAAGAAGGTAATTTATACAAGATGAATGGAATTTTATTGTACTTTGCTTTACTCACTTAAATTTGGTATTTAAGGCCTAGGAAGAATGAAGAAGTCAACAATGTTTGATGGCCGGGGGAGTTGTAAAGTCCTACGATGTAAAATATGCTTTTCAAATGTCAAATTGAAAGATTGGAAACTAAAAGTTATTTGCAATTAGATGAACGATTGAGGCAAGGCTTAATATTGTAAAAATAAGCGTGACAACTGAATATTTATTGATACAGATGGTCACAGGAAAGGAGATAGTACCATTGGGAAACAAATGTCTATAAGAGGAATTAGTGAGTCAATCATGTCACCTTTGGGGCATCTATACTGTAGATATTCAATCATTAAAAAGGAGTCTGATGTCAAATGTTCACTTTGTCGGTTTTGTTGCAGTCTGTATCTGCCCATATTAACAAGAAAGTGAAAATAGCTTATGCTTGGTGGTAAAACACAAGGTTATCATTACAGTACGTCTTATACACTCCCATGGCAAAAGTCACCTATATTTGCAATTAAATGAGAATATTGGCATAATGAGCAATGCAATCATCGCAAAATTAATAATATTACCCGAATATCTTGCTTCTGCACCGGACATACCTACATAATGAATATTATCAATCTATTGTTATAATCATGCGAGCGAGGGCTTAGTTATAATGTCGCGTTGGTGATTGGATTATTTTGAAGATCGATGATGACAGCCATATAATAGTTTTTAGTCCTTTTACAGCTGGCACATATCATACCAGCAATTTTCACCTAGTTTATAGAGGCATTCTTACTTGTCAATATCTCTTACACATGCACCGGACCAAGTTTCCGTCACTAATCCTGCGATTGTCTGCGATAAATTATAAAGTTTTCCTACATTAGACGAAGCCATAGATTTTAACAAACAGATAAGATATGGAATAATAACATTACTTTGCATCTCTAGGAAAAATCTTGCTCTTCTAATATCAATCAGCGCTTCCTCCATCTTCATATTCGTGTACCTTCTGCATCAATGTCCCCTCCATTTTAACTCTGTATCGTCCATTATTAGCCTCTACATCCTCAAATTCTGCCACATTCTCTTCCTGTTACTCTGTCGTTGTTTTAATCTGGGCTCTCTGCATTCAAGTTTTTCCTTGTACACATGAGTATTATCTTCTGCATGAAATCACATTAATTTATTACGACTAACAACGAAACCCCACATCGTCGATTTCCACCAAGATATATCGAACGAATTGTCTTATAAATAATTATTGTTCTGAGACCACGGTATACGAGACTTTCATTGCACTTCCAATTTACTCGAATATGAATGGAGATAAGATTCATCTCATCGGTCTGTTGCATACTTTGCTCCATCATATGTTCTCTCTTGCTAGTTTTATCTCGTCTTTTACCCTTCTCTATTCTTCCTCACCATCGTACTCATCAGGAAGACGTTTCGTATAGGCAGAGAAGAAGTTGGTGGTATTCATGTCGATAACTTACGTCAATAGAGCATGATCTTATTGGACAATCGGGAGAATGTTACACACACTATAAGCATTCTACAATGGAATTAAAGCGGAGTAAGTCGAGAAATCAAATGACGATGAGCAATGGTCAAAGAATACGATAAAACTGGATGATTCCAAGTCGGAGTTTCTCGAAAACTTCAAGAAAGTTATGACTCCTGTAAAACAACTCAGATACGATGTGCAAGGGAGATTAGAGACATTTCAGACGGAAAAAGCAAAATATGCCAAGCCATAGTATTAGAATGTTGAGTAAAAGTTACTATCCAAGAGATCCAGCTACACTCCAAGCTATTAAAAGTTGGATGGTGAAGAAGCAAGGAAGCAAAATGTTTCTGAACGAATAAATTTAGTTTGTATGCACAATGGCGAATTCGTAGCATAATGAATATGACATCGCTGCTTGCTTTTAATTCTGCATCAGTAAATGATATAACTTTATTTATGCCATTAATATCAATAAATCGATACTACATACTACAATCTACTCTTATCAAGATATTTAATATTAATGTTTCGAATAATGTTTGTGGTGAAAGTTCTTCCTTAGAGCTTGTACAGACCAACTATCACATGTAATGATGAAGATCAAACCATATTCAGAATATGCTGTACGACCATAAAAGTGTCGGACTATAAACTTAAAATCACTTAATATTAATATTAACAAAACCACAACACTTTTTTTTTTTTTCCTAAGTATTTGAAACTATGTCTGAGTCTCAGTTCCCCAGGTCTCTTTTTCCTCAATTTACGGAAGACGAACTGAAAGAAATAGGTGAAAGCCTTAAGTCTTCTGTAAACTGGACCGAATATAACAAGTGACTCGAGGAAGGACAACCTTTTGAGGAGCACGAAGAAATCGAACTGTTTATCAACCGCGAACATGTTTCTTCTCAGAGACAAGTATCAACTGGTAAGTCTATTTATTTGTGTCCATTCTACTGCTTCATTTATATATATATTTGGCTAACTTTTTTTTAAGAAATCAAACGATGTAACATTGACAGATGTCGAACACAGGAAAATGGAGGCAACACTCACCGTAATGAAGGGAAGGACAATTCAAAGATCAGGAAAAAAAGCTATTTTACACCTCCCTCCGCAAGATCCAAAGCCGAAGCTGTCACTTGGAATGACCGTGAACATTGTCGTAAAGTTCCTGGATCCAATGAAGTTTCCAGTACAATCAAGATATACAACACAAATGCTAAAAGACTTATATTAATATATTAAGGATAAAGTCAGGGGATTTAAAAAAAGAGAAATTCGTTTGGATCCAAAAGGCTCATAATAATATATGTATGCATTTGTTTTGCCCATCTGATGTTGCGACATCTTCACGAAGAATGGTTTAGATGTATAGCATTCTTCAGTGACCATGACCGCTATTCAGATTTTTTATCTAATTTCTTTACTAATAGCGCGTATAATCCATAATTATAATGACACTATTCAAAACATGTATGAGCCATAATAATATCATTCAAAATAATAATTGATTACTAATAACATGTATGAGCCGTAATAACTCTGCTATAATAAATATTTCCATTCTGCGTTTTTCACAATGTCACTTTTTTTACATGTAGTCGTTGGACTGATCAGTTTTTTTTTTGTAGGAAAGCGAGGAATGATCAGATATTGTATGATGTGATTGTGCTCGTGATCCTAATGGATGAAGAATCAGAGTATCTCTTCTCGAAACCATCACTTGACTTTAGTACTTCAATTTTCGAGAGTTCTACATTCTCACGTATACACGCCTGGCGTTAGAGAAAAATTCTATAAAAAACATAACGGAAGAGGGAAAATACACCTCCAGTTAATTATATTTACCAATGACAATGGCACAGCTTTTTTTTTATTTCGTGATGCAAATCCTTGTGTGACTTCATGGAAAAATATAATAAAGCAATACGGCTGTTTTGGATAGCATCAAAATATATTTGATATAAAAGTGAACAGTAATGAATGAACTAAAGATTTTACTTCGAATTTTTAAATGTGTATTTTACAAGTGATATTAATATTTATTGATTACCGTATTTCACCTACATGTATTCTCTTTGTTCATTTTAGTACCCAGTAAGGAGTACATCGTAGTGATAGTGGGTACATATCTCGATTTGTTTTTTATGTCTCCCGGTGTCTCATGTCTTGAATTAGTATATGGCCTCGTGGATTCTATAATAATAACTCGCATAAGATGTGTCGGAGATGATAATATTTATAAAGTTTGTGCATCTTTAATTTGCAGTTTTTATTGGCAAGTTAGAAGAGCAGTCGACCTCCAATACAGTCACAATGACCAAAACCGGTGACTATAAGGAGGGGTGACTGTATGGGAGGTCGACTGTAGTCATGTGACACATGGCTCGAGCAGTCTTAGAACCAATGCGTCGTTGTCCACGTCTTGAGTGCGAAATTCGGGTAGTAATATTATACGATAGTTTTCACAGAGCCATTTAGCTAGTTTATAATGATAATCATTCGCAAGACAAACGGATCCTCTTGTGAATGCGTAACATAACACGACGTAATCTACAATTGAAAGTAGTATATACACCTCCGGCTCAAATTTCTTTAACCAAAATTTTTGACTGACAAAAGTATAAGTACGAGACGAATTTTACTATGAAAACTCTTTATTTTCAAAAATCTCTATCATCCATATGTACTATGTAACCCACAATGATTTTGGTATTGTTTTGAAGCCAATTGATTGTATTTTTCAGAAAAAATTATGATATACTCAGTCCTGTTGTCGTTTCAAAGCTGTAGTTCAATGAAGTGACAGAATTATGTTACACAAACGATTTCATATGTGTAACATAGTGCTGTCACTTCATTGAGTAACTAATTTAAATTCCACACCGTTCTTTTCGAAAAATACAGTCAATTAGCTTCAAAATGGATTTTTGAAAATAAAGAGTTTTCAAGTAAAATCTCGTCTCGTATTTATACTTTTGTCAGGGGAATTATAAATAAATTTTACCTGTAACGTTTTCGTTTGTTTCCCCCCATGAATACGTGTATACAGTCGGCCTCCCATACAGTCACCTCCCATACAGTCACATTTGTTTACAGTCACACATTTGTTCATTCCCGAATTTTTTCATAGTGATTTTCCTCCCATAGAGTCACATTCCTGCATTCATAGTGTTAGTCACAATCACACGATTTTGGATTCCCATCATAATGAGAACAATAGGAAATCCCCCCATACAGTCACATCAATTTGTGTAACAATTTTGGCTAATGTGTTACATCCTAGAAAGGTAACGCTAGCGCCTTATAACGCCTGCATTGGTGTAGCAAGGTAATAGTTAACACTGCACACAATGCCTTTTGAACTTTGTTACATACAGTATATTAATGTAATGGGGTAAACACTGTCGAAGGGCCATGATTTTTTATATAAACAGCGAAGCAATGATAAACATCGCATAACTTTTCCAATGTCCTTACAATGTCAACTGAAGAAAAGAGCTCAATTGAGTATTGATAATAAACGCGAAATTTGTGAATATGCGAGGCAACATCCTACTTTAAGTCATACTGACATTGCCCACTATTTCAATGAGAAATTTAACCTTAGTATAGATCGTTCAACTGTAAAGAGAAATGGCTTAATACACCGACGACAAAACGAAATTCTAGCATATTTCGTCAACATTCCGTTAAATATCCTAACTTAGATAAAGCTATGGAGTTGTGGGTAAGCCAAGCAGTTTCAGGAGGCTTACCTTGTACCAAGCTAATATTAAATAAATATTCAATAGTATACTAAATATTCGGAAAAAATTTTACATTATGTTTATAGATCACATGACTACAGTCAACCTCCCATACAGTCACCCCTCCTTATAGTCACTGGTTTTGGTCATTCCCAAGGGTGTGACTGTATGGGAGGTCGACTGTAATTGCCAGTGTACTTACCAAGACGATGGCCTGGGGGGTGTCATGTGACAACAGTAGTTGACATTTTATTGTTATATACAGTGTGTAACAAAAGTTTTATTTACTTATTGCTCAAAAACTACACTTAACAAAAAAATATTAAAATAAAGCCCATAATCTAAAGTTTTTATTATTATTGACATAAATTAATAATTTATTTTTTCACCATTGTTTTCTATTATTATAATCTGACATCTCATCTTCTGCCATATACTGAAAGATTTTAGGCATACACATTTCTATGTTTCTTTTAACAATGGCCCAAAGATTTCAAGTCTGGACTATTGGAATATGGAAGGTCAGAACTCCATGGAAAGTTTTTGCTAAAAAATGCCTGATTTGTATGCTTTGAGTCATTATCTTACTGGAAGTGCTGATTGCTCCTAAAAAGTTGGTTGATTTCTTGCATGACATTGCAAAATATTGAGGGATTTGATAGTGTGTTGACAATAATGCTTTGGACATTTTGTATGAGGAGGAGAGCATATGTGAATAAACACAAGTTGGGGTTAATGTAAAAATTCACATTCATAATGTTTTAAAGAAGTTTTCCATGTATACAAAATCCTCATAGTAATAGTAATAGATATTAATATGTCAGCTTATCATTCTTATATCAGCAAGAGTTCTTCCAAAGCAGTTTTTAACAGAAACTTTTGAAGATCTTTTTTTAAAACATTTCTCTGCCAGCTTATGAAGACCACTTTTTGAACATTCAAGAGTGATCATTACTGTTTCATTGACAGCTTTTTCTGACACAGCTTGTTTTGATTCAGTGACATCATATCTTCTTGCACAATTTCATATATCAACCTAGCAGCTAGTCATGGACATCCATCAAGATATTTCCAGTTCTCAATATTTTCAATCTTGCAGTCTGAAAGATTAAGGTAACTCCTGATGTAGATTTCATTGTCAATATCTGAAAATCAGATAGATAATCTATAGATACCTCTTTAGCAACATCACTTCTAAGACTATCTCCGTGTTGAAGAGAAAAAGAGGTCCCAGCAATCACTAAAGATATGTTCCTTGTAATATAGTAATAGGCATGACTTTCTGAATATTTGTGATGCTAATATGGGGGTTATTGTTTATGAGATCTTTAATGATATTAATATTCGAAGGCGTAACAGCTTCGCGAGGATGTCCAGAACGGGGAATGCTGGTTTAGGTAGCTGAACTATTGCATCATCATTGTAGCTTGCCCATGAGGTCCATTCTCAAAGTTTTTGAGGGGGAAGGGAAGGATAAATGTCTAAATAGCGTTATTTGTTTACATAAAAGATCCTGTGACCGAGACTGAAAAGGAAGAGGAAGAAGTCATGTCGCGTAGCTGAAATCGATTTTAACAGAAAGCTTCTCTCTCCATCGTGCTGTCAATAACATGGCTGCTATCGCTGCTGCGTACCGTCCCCACCACGCGTAATAATAATAAACAGGTTTGTTTTGATCAGCAGGGCAACGCGAAAATCGTTAGTCGCATCAATTGCGATCTAATTGTTGGCACGTGATCATGTTTACGCAATTGTCGTAACGGAATAAGGAAGTACAGTCAAAGCTGGCTATAACGAACTTTGGTTATAACGAAGATCTGTTTATAACGAAGATTTTCTCCAAGCAAATCATTTTCGAGTATTCTGGCTGGCTATAGCGAATTTCATTAAGAATCTGGTTATAATGCTTATAACGAAGATTTTTCAGAACGACATAATGTGCCACTAATTGGCTA